TGAACTGAAATAGTGGTGTTATGATAAAGTCTACACATAGATGTTTTATATATTCTGAACTAAAGAGGAGAAGTAAAATGTCTGCCTTTTTCTCCTGGCCCAAAGATGCATTTATTTGAAATGAATATGTTTACTTAACTCTGAGACTTCTCATGTAGCTACTAGGGTGAGACCCAAAGACAACTTAAGAATATGCGTTTCTAACAGTTCCCAGGGGAGACCCCACTCTGAGAACCACAGGGCTAGAGTAACCATGACATTTGTACAGTGTATCTCTGTCCACAAAACACTTCACAGCGGTCACATCAACCACAGCTGGCCAGGGTGTGAGTGTGTGAGACGTTAACACGCCACACGCTACTGAGGAAAGCGGTCGTGAAGGGAGCAAGCCACGAGCACAGCCATCAGGCGTCCGCACTGAGATTTCTGACGACACCCTTCCCAAAGGGCTCGGGCCTCCAGAGTCCCTCTAGCCTCATACATGCTTCAAAACCATCCTTGCTGTCTCTTGCCCACACAGTGAGGGGCGCTCTCATTGATTCCGCAGGCTTCTCAGAGCCAGGGCTCTGCTCCTGTCTGCTATTCAGGTTGAGTGGGTAAGGGGACGACAATGACCACACCCCTGCTGCATCTATTATTTCCAACCACAAGATGCCGAGATTAACGACGAAAGCAAACACTCAGTGAACCTAACTCGGATATCAATTTCCTCATGCCATCCTCTCTCAGTTCAGTTCAGTCACTCAGTCATGTCCGACTCTCTGTGACTCCATGAATTGCATGCCAGGCCTCCCTGTCCATCACCAACTCCCGGAGTTTACTCAAACACATGTCCATCGAGTCGGTGATGCCATCTAATCATCTCATCCTCTGTCGTCCCCTTCTCCTCCTGCCCCCAACCCCTCCCAGCATCAGGGTCTTTCCCAATGAGTCAACTCTTCACATGAGGTGACCAAAGTACTGGAGTTTCAGCTTCAGCATCAGTCCATCCAATGAACACCCAGGACTGATCTCCTTTAGGATGGACTGGTTGGATCTCCTTGCAGTCCAAGGGACTCTCAAGAGTCTTCTCCAACACCACAGTTCAAAAGCATCAATT